TTCGATCCCTACAGCTCCGGGTGCCCGCAGCCAACCTCAATCCCGGCGGCAGATGATCCTCCGTGTGAAGTACGGTCAGAGGGTCAGTAGCGGCCTAACGCCACCTCACAATGCCCGTCACTCACCTCACTTCATCTTGTCACTTATCATCTCACATCATCGCAAGAAGGGTGAGTACGGTCCAGTAAGATTTTGAGAGAGAGACCATATTCATAAACCTTTCATTAGAGTATATTATTATATTGTTTTCATTTTATTATTGGTTATTGTTAATCCCTTACTGTGCCTAATTTTTAAAAATTTAAGCTGTATCATAGGGATGTATGTATAGGAAGAAACAGTATATAGAGAGTTCAGTACTATCACGATTTCAGGCATCTGCTGGGGGTCTTAGCATGTCTCCCCTGCAGACAAGGGGGGATGGCTGCATGTAAGAGGCCTTAACTGGGTGAGTCATGTATCCAGTCCAGATGGTCCTATCACCACTTCTGTTTTATTTTTTTAATGTTTATTTATTTTTGAGAGAGAGAGAGAGGGAGACAGTGTGAGCATGGGAGGCACAGAGAGAGAGAGAGAGAGAGAGAGAGAGAGAGAGAGGGAGACACAGAATCCAAAGCAGGCTCCAGGCTCTGAACTGTCAGCACATAGCCCGATGTGGGGCTCAAGCCCACGAACCGCGAGATCATGACCTGAGCCGAAGTCGGATGCTTAACTGAGCCACCCAGGCATCCCGTCCCATCACCATCTCTATCCCAAGGCTGTGTCCTTGCAGGGGCATCTAGGAGCGGGAAGGGCAAGTGGGACACACATTCCAAGGACAGGGCAGAGGTGGGAGCCTCCAACTACCTGGGTCCAGCTCTTGGGTCAAATGGCGGTGGTGTCTTCTCGCTGACCTCCTCCGATACCTCCCCCCAGCTGCTGCGTAGGGGTAGAGAAAGAAGACGGCTGTCTGCAAAGCCAGAAGCCAGCCCTCGCCAGGCACTGACTTGGCCAACACCTTGATCTTAGGATTCCCAGCCTTCAGCACTGTAGGTACTTCTGCTGCTTGAGCCACCCTGGCTATGTGGTTTGTTACGGCAGCCCTAGCAGATAAGGCAAAAGTCTCCTGATGGGTCTTATTGCCTTGGCTAATTATCCTTTCCAGCAAGGCCCCTTCTGGGAGCTTGGCATTCCTTCCTCTATTATATCTCTCTTGGCAGTTCAGGCGTTTTTTCTATCGCTTTTTCCAGGCCTCTGGGAGTCACCTACCCTAAGGCACTGAGTCTGCACCATTGCCTGCAGTTTGTCTCACGGTGTTAAATCCCGTGTCCTGAGTGACATCCCCAAGTCGTAGAGCACCTGCGGAACCTGGTCCCACGGGCGCGCTCCTGGCCCCTGCCCCTACAGTACCTTCGGCACATTATCCATTGCTTCCTTCATCCGGCCTGGCATGACCCCAGCCAGGTGGTGCTATGACTTAACCTTGGGTATCGACCTGGGAGATGGGGTAGGTCAGCTGCTAGGGTACCTGTTGCCTTACAGGGCCAGATCTCTATGCGTCTTGCATTTCCTCCTGTTAGGGTGGGAGAAGGGGGGAGGGGTGGTTCAAGTTCTTAATGGGGAAAGGGAGAGCCTCTTCTGCAGGCCCAGAGTGTTCAGAAACTTTCAGCGGGGTCAAAACTGTTGGGGGCATCCACCTGGTGTCCCCTTCTCATTATCCGAGTTTGGTCCTGACCTTGGTGGAACAAACCTGGCTTGTTGAACGTTTTTGGTGGTTACTACTTTTTTTTTTTTTTTTTCAACGTTTATTTATTTTTGGGACAGAGAGAGGCAGAGCATGAACGGGGGAGGGGCAGAGAGAGAGGGAGACACAGAATCGGAAACAGGCTCCAGGCTCTGAGCCATCAGCCCAGAGCCCGACGCGGGGCTCGAACTCACGGACCGTGAGATCGTGACCTGGCTGAAGTCGGACGCTTAACCGACTGCGCCACCCAGGCGCCCCGTGGTGGTTACTACTTTTACCATCACTTCCTGTACTTGACCTCCAGCTTCTTCTGCTTAATTTCTGTGTGAGGTGAGGGCTTCTTAGCAAGTTACCAGAGAGGTTCTGGCTCTGTCACAGTTGTTGTTGTTGTTGAAGGGTCCTGGGTTGGGCAGAAATAGCTACTTCTTGGGCCACCACCTTGCTCGGTCTTTGGCTGGAAGATGCCAGAAAACAGCACGCTGTCAGCTCCCACTGCCTCGCTCGGGCATAGCAGCAGACCCTTGAATCTGCAGCAGACCCTGAAGAAAGTATCAGCGGGAGATGGCATCTGACCACACCCCTCAGAGCCAGGCAGCTGGTCCTTTCTCGAAGGTGGATCTGAGGGGCACATGTCCATGGGCTTGCCTGCCACAACCCCCAGTCTCAGAAAAGAAATGACTGGTCTTTGGCCACAGTTCCACGGAAGTCCCAGAAATGATCAATGACAACTCCACATCAGTAATCTCCCAGCAGCCTCACTCTGGGAGCCACGCCTCCACAACTAACCCTCCATTCCTAAGGGATTCGGGAAGTCTGCTAACCCTTGACCCCACTGCTTCCTGAAACCCCGTTCAAGGTCAGCAGTTTTCTTTGTCCAGAGAGACTGTGCAAGCTCAGTTCTCTCTTGCTCAGCAAGCACTACGTGCAGCCTTTTGTTCTGAATACCAAAGGTGGCCTCTTCCTTTGACATGGCCATCTCTGCCCAAGAGGTCCCCAGCCCGCCAGGCTTTCATCTGACTGGCTCCTTCTCGCCATCCCCGTCTCAAACGTCTCTTCCTCAGAGAGGTCTGGCCTGACCCCCTGTGTGAGGTCCACTGCCCCCTGCCAAGCCACACTCTATCCCAGGGCCTCATTTCATTTGCACGCTCTCCGTCTCTAGAATACAGACTCCAAGAGGACACTCCCTGCTGTACTTCTCAGGACGGGGGCGGGGGGACTGAATGGAAGAGCAAAAGGCGTTACAGGGTTTGTTAATTTACAAAGTTGCCGATGAGGGCGGTTTCTCCCCACCACCGTGCAGCAGCCCTGCGCCCGGTGCCGGGCCTGGAACACAGCAGGTGTTCCACATGGTGAAATGTTTAGAGAAACAGGTTAAGTGATAACAAGAAAAGAAGGAACACATGACACGCACTGGGTGTTAAGGGAACCGTTTTCAGACTTCTAGAAAGACAATCTTACAAAAAAGTGACATAAACATTGACAAATGTAGACGGCTCTATGGGAAGAATTGGTGGCTGGGGGTGGGGGGTGCACCCACCTTAATCCCTCTCACGATCCCCGGGATCCCTCCTTAAAACCTTGAACTCCCAAGGAAGCTGGATAACTCTTCCCAGGGAAATGGGACAATCCAGGCAAAGGAGAGATGGGAATGATTGCCCCACATAAGGGTCTAGGGGGAACTAGGATTTAATTTGGGGGGTGGGGTGGGGAGGATCAGGCAGAATCTGACCCTGTTGACAGAGTGGTTGGAGCATGTGGGGCAGGAAAGCCTGAAGAGGAGAGCAGAAGCATAACTGATGGAACAAGAATTAGACCGAAAGCACAGGTGGATGGTTTAGCCTTAGGAAAAAGTGTAGGGGCACCCGGGTGGCTCAGTCGGTTAAGCGTCCGACTCAGGTCATGATTTCATGGTTCATGAGTTCAAGCCCTGCATCAGGCTCTGTGCTGACAGTGTGGAGACTGCCTGGGATTCTATCTCTCTGCCTCTCCCCACTCGCTCGGTTTCTTTCTCAAAATAAATAAACTTTTAAAAAAAGCCCACACATAAATTTCCTATAAATAAGAGAAGAAAAACATCTCCATAGAAATGTTGACATAAGAGATATTTTGTAGTCAGTGCCAGCCACGTAATTACAACGGATTCATTGCTATGAGAAATATTCTCTGGATTTAGGGCTGAAAAATGTTTTAGTTTATAATTTATGGAAGAGAAGGGAAAAATGGGATATGCTGTGCTTGAATAGTACAAAATCCATTTTTAAATTTTAATTTTAATAAAGACATTTTTTTAATGTTTATTTTTGAGAGAGACAGAGTGTGAGCAGGGGAAGGGCAGAGAGAGGGGGAGACACAGAATCCCAAGCAGGCTCCAGGCTCCGAGCTGTCAGCACAGAGCCTGATGTGGGGCTCAGAACTCACAAACCGTGAGATCATGACCTGAGCTGAAGTTGGATGCTTAACAGACTGAGCCACCCGGGGGCCCCGTTTTCAATCTTATCTCAGAGACACAGAGTGAGTGCAAGCCCTGCGATCATGACCTGAGCCAAAACCAAGAGTCGGATGTTCAACCAACTGAGCCGCCGAGGCACCACCAACTTTTTTTTTTTTCAACGTTTATTTTTATTTTTGGGACAGAGAGAGACAGAGCATGAACGGGCGAGGGGCAGAGAGAGAGGGAGACACAGAATCGGAAACAGGCTCCAGGCTCTGAGCCATCAGCCCAGAGCCCGACGCGGGGCTCGAACTCACGGACCGTGAGATCGTGACCTGGTTGAAGTCGGATGCTTAACCGACTGCACCACCCAGGCGCCCCTCAACTTTTTTTATTGAACATGTTTCAGATCACAACTAAATGCTGGTCATCAGAAGTATGCTTCTCTTCTTTCAAATGGAATTTATTGCATAAGAGATGTCTATTTTATATAGAACTCTAGAGTAAATATTAGAAATATTTACCTCCTACCAGTAGAGGCTGGTACTGTGGATATTCTAGTAGGAGGGCTAGAAGGAGTCCTCCAGTTGGTTTTATTAAGTGAGCTGAAAAAGAAATTTAATTTCTTTTTGGCAAAAAACCAATAAATAATCAGTGCAAACGAATACCTTTGGAAAAATAATCGCCTGAGGTTTTGAAATTTTATATCCATAATAATTTCAAAGCCAGAAACCTAGCTTGTCTTGTATCAAAAGTCACAACCTAAAAGGTGCAAAAGAATTTGATTTCTGTTCTCAGCTGAAGGTCACCTCTCTAGGCTTGAGAGCCGAACTGTTCCACACAGGATACCTCTTTAGCATTTTTATTGATAATAGCTAGAGGGGATAACATCCAAATGACATAAATTCAAGTCAAAAAAGGCCAACATGATTGTGATACAGCGAAGAAGGGTCAAGCAATAAGACACTTCCTGGACCCTCATAGAAATACCCACCCTCCAGAGCTGTGACTGCTTCTCATGTTTCTAGAAGACTCTCCCCTATTACCTGTGTATCTAGATGAAGCTTCAAGCATTAAAAGGCACCTTGGAAATAAGCTCAAATCACCATAGTTCTCTCCGGTAGAGATACTAGACCTGCATTTTACATGTCGGTACGTTGGATATCTACGCTAAGCAATGGTACTTCCTTTTTTCCCTCATTCAGTTTCTTTGCAGGGTTCATTTTTCTGAATCAACCACACTTCATTATTTCTATCAAGCAACTTGAAAGGACTGTTGTAGCCTGCGGTATAGTAAACCTTCTCATTGAAAACTTTTCCTTCTTCCCTCAACATGCTTGCTAATGTCAAAAGTTGTTCTTGATTCTTTTGAGCACTAGAGAATCCATCGAAAGACCTGCGAAGGAGAAAGCAAATAACCACGAATGAGGCTCATGCTGACATAAAGGTCAGTCTGAAGAGGCAAGCAGAAGCCGGTACTATTAAGTGCTGCTCCCAAGCTCCCCCCGCCCCCTCCCCCGCTGCCCCCCAGCATTCTCCTCTGGTGTCCATTCTCCAAGTGGCCTCACTGAGGAGACCCCGGAGGAGGCACGTGTCCCATCTGCTGGCAGGCAGATTTGGGACTTTCACCATTTCGTGCTCTAAGTCTTGCTTTTCAGACTAAGGAGCATACAGGTGACCTGGGAAACTTGCTAAAATGCTGATTCAGGAAGTCTGGGGTGGGGCCCGGGCAACCGTGTTCCTAACAAGCTCCCAATAATGCTGATGCTGCTGGTCAGTGGTGACAATGAAAGCCCCTTAGAAGATTCCCTTTCAGACTTTCAGTTTGCTGTGGAATATTTCCCCTTTCTTCCTCTCCTGGGGAAAAGGGTAGGCTCTACATTACAGACGAGTATGATACAGTTTCGAATGTAAGAATTTACAGAGGAACATTTAGGCAGCTCTTTATATCTAGCCCGAGAAGAGATTTAACAGAGACAGGATCAATATGCTTGGGAACACTGAGGATACGACTGACCCAGGAGTAAGGGATAGCCTCTGAGTTGGGTCTGGAATGGATGCAGTTGGCTGGAATGGATGGTCTTGCTGGGTAGAAAAAGGGAAAATGGAGAAGGATAAGAAAATGAACAGAAGTTCAAAAACACAAAGCATGTTCATAGTGAGCCACAAAATGAGCTCTGAAAGGTGAGTCAGAGCCAGAAAGAAGAGACTTGTATGTCATCCCAAGGCCTTCAGAGATTATTTGAAGGATGGTGAGCAGAAAAGTAACTTGATAGGGTCTGGGAAAGACAGATGGAAAATAGACTGGAGGGAAGGAGCCAGTTAGGCGGTTGCTATGGGGATGGGGAAGAAAAGACAGGCAGAAGATTTATAAAAAGTGGGGAAAGAGAATAAAAGTTTAAGTATAGATTTTAAAGTATACAAACAAAAATGTCCTGAGGTTAAATTATGATGGTACATAGACCTAGCTGAGTTGCCGACATGTAAACACGATGAATTTGATTTTGAAGGTTAAGAATAGGAAACACAGAAAATAAAACATATTCCCATTATGCCTTCTGTAGCATAGGTTTTATTGTCAATGTGCCAATGGAACGACTGGTCCTACCATTCTTCAGCTAAGAGGTAACCTCTCAAGGGTACAAACCATGTCTATTGCATTCAACAATGTTCATCAGACACCTAGTATCTTTCAAATCCTCACTGAGTGGTGTAGGAATCGATGTATGTACATGTACATGAAATAAAACATTGAAGATAAATTGACAACACGGTTCTAATTTTCAGAATGTTGACTGATAATTATAACTCTGAACCACGTGTTGAGAAATATTTTGCTTCCTACATTTAATATTTCCTTAACCAAGAGCCAACTTTTAGTATGCTCTGCCGAAAGGGAACTGACTTTCGGATCCCATTTCTTCCTTGAAGTCAACTTTTGAGCCCCCTAGTTAGAAATCATCTTTTGTTTTCTGAAGACACATTGTTCTACAGTGATCCATCCACAGCTTTACTCAGTACACAAACATCTGATTCCCTTCCCACGCACCTGCCCTTGCCAGGAGCTGCAGGGTATGAACATGTACCATGCTGCTGTGTTCTTGAGAAAGTTACAGTCTGTACATAGATCATTATAACTGAGAATAATAGGAGAACAGAGTGGCTGGCTGACGGGAGAAACTGAGGAAGGCATCACAGATGAGGTACTATTTGATACAAGTCCTGAAGGGGAAAAGTGGATGCTCCAGGAAGAGGGGAAAGAGGAAGCTAGAGCTAGTAGGAAGACGATGTGTCTGTTTTAAGTATTTAACAGACATCAACTGATGTAATCGTCATGGCAACCCTATGAGACAGGTAGGCACTGTGACTATATACATCTTACAAAAGAAGAGCTTTAGGCAAAGAACATGTGAGTAAACCTGCCTGAGGTCACAGGTAAAGAGATGTGGCAGATCCCGGCCACGGCAATCAGACAACAAAAAGAAATTAAAATATATGCAAACTGGCAGGGAAGAAGTAAAACTTTCACTCTTTGCAGATGACAGGATACTATAGATAGAAAACCCGAAAGACTCCACCAAAACACTGCTAGAAAGGATATAGGAATTCAGCAAAGTCGCAGGATATACAATCGATGTACAGAAATCAGTTGCATTTCTACACACCAATAATGAAGCAGAAGAAAGAGAAATTAAGGAATCAATCCCATTTACAACTGCGCCCGAAACAATACGATACCTAGGAATAAACCTAACCAAAGATATGAAAGACCTGTACTCTGAAAACTAAAAAATACCGATGAAAGAAACAGAGAAGACACAAAGAAATTGAAAGACATTCCATGCTCATGGACCGGAAGAAGAAATATTGTTAAAATGTCAATACTACCCAAAGCAATCTACACATGCGATGCAATCTCTATCAAAGTACCAACGACATCTGTCGCAGAGCCGGATCAAACAATCCTAAAATCTGTATGGAACCACAAAAGACCCTGAATAGCCACAGCGACCTTGAAAAAGAAAAAGCAAAGCTGGAGGCATCACAATTCCAGACTTCATGTTATATTACAAAGCCGTAGTGATCAAAACAGTATGGTACTGGCACAAAAACAGACACATAGATCAGCGGAACAGAATAAAAAACCCAGAAAGGAACTCACATTTATATGGTTAATTAGTCTTTGACAAAGAAGGAACAAATATCTAATGGAATATTGGACTGTGTCTTCAACAAATGGTGTTGGAAAACTGGACAGCAACATGCAAAAGAACGAAACTGGACCACTCTGTTTCACCATGCACAAAAATAAATTCAGAATGGGTTAAAGACCTAAATGTGAGACTTGAGGCCATAAAATCCTAGAAGAGAACACAGGCAGTCACTTCTTTGACATCACCTACAGCAACTTCTTTCTAGGTATGTCTCCTAAGGCAAGGGAAGTAAAAGCAAAGACAAGCTATAGGGATTATGTCAAAACAAAAAACTTCTGCACAGCGAAGGAAACAATCAACAAAACTAAGAGGCAACCTATGGGATGGGAGAAGATATTTTCATATAAGATATCTGATAAAGGGTTAGTATCCAAATTATATAAAGCACTTATAAAACCCAACACCCCCAAAGCCAAACAATCCAATTTAAAAATGGGCAGAAAACATGCACAGAGCCCCACATCGGGCTCTTCACTGACAGCATGGAGCCTGCTTGGATTCTCTCTCCTCCTCTCTCTGCCCCTCCCCAACTCACGTGGTCTCTCTCTTGCTCTCTCTCAAAATAAATAAATAAACATTAAAAAAAAAGAAAGAAAGAAAACACGAATAGACATTTCTCCAAAAAAGATATACAGATGGCCAATAGACACATGAAAAGATGCTCAACATCACTTAGCAGGGAAATGCAAATCAAAACTACAATGAGATATCACTTCACACCTGTCAGAATGGCTAAAATCAACAACACAAGAAACAACGGGTGTTGGCAAGGATGTGGAGAAAGGGGGACCGTCTTGTACTGCTGGTGGGAATGCAAACTGGTTCAGCCACTCTGGAAAACAGTATGGAGGTCCCTCAAAAAGTTAAAAAAGAACTACCCTACGATCCAACAACTGCACTACTAGGTATTTATTTACCCAAAGAATACAAAAATACTAGTTTGAAGGGATACATGCACCCTGATGTTTACAGCAGCATTATCTACAACAGCCAAAGCATGGAAACAGCCCAGCGTCCAGTGGCCATCAATTGGTGAATGGATAAAGAAGACGTGGTATATACATAATATGTGGTGTATACACACACACACACACACACACACACACACACACACACACACACTGGAATATTACTCAGGCATAAAAAAGAATGAAATCTTGCCATTTGCAACAACATGGATGGAGCTAGAGAATATAATGCTAAATGAAATAAGCCAGAGAAAAACAAATACCATATGATTTCACTTATATGTAGAATTTAAGAAACAAAACATATGAGCAAAGGCACACACACACACACACACACAAAACCCAACAAGAAGCAAACCAAAAAAACAAACTCTTACCAATAGAGAACAAACTGATGGTTTGGAGGTGGGTGGGGGGATGGGTTAAATAGGTGACTGGGACTAAGAAGGGCACTTGCTATGACGAGCACGGGGTAAAGTGCAGAAGTGCTGAATCACTGTATCATACACCTGAAACTAACATTACACTGTACGTTAACTAACTGGAACTTAAATCAGAACTTAAAAAGACCGAGAGAGAGATGGAAGAAATGGCCTGCTCAGTGAAGGGTGGGAAGGTCAGGGGAACATAACCAGTGGGGAGATGGGGTTGGGTCACGTGATAAAAGACATCGTGAACAATCCGAACTTCACCCTGAAGCAAGTGAAAGGCACAGAGATTTTTAGTGAAGTCCCAGGTTGGGGTTTATTGCTTTGCTGCTGCCGTAGTAAGGAAGATCAAGGACTCCAGTGTAGAGCCGGACAGGAAGAGAACGGCGGGCAGGTTGCTCCCAACAGCCGGGAGGCTGCTGAGGCGGAACACACGAGATCTGAGATGAATAAACATCCGAGCATCTGCGGGGGATCGGGCACTGTGCCAAGCACTAGGGTACACGAAGATGACTTGGATGTGGTTCCCGTAAGATGAGGTCCTGAGGAAGTCCCAGGGATGGAGAGAAGGGAACAGAATCATGGATCATTTCCAAGGAGAATGGACCAGATCTGGCAATCAGTTGTCAGGGAAGAGTGCGCTGCTGGTGGCCGTGGAGACCTCTGCTGGGGACGCTGTCTGGCTGATGAGGCCCTTTTCTTTTCTTTTTTTTTTTTTTTTATAGCTCTTTGTTTATTTTCTTTTTTCAATATATGAAATTTATTGTCAAATGAGGTCCTTTTCTGAGACAGACACTAGAAGATCACTGCCTCTATAAACTGGCAATTGGGGGAAGGCTCATTTTTAGAGCTGTTGAGTTTAATCCCCACACCCTTCACATGGAAATGTCCAACAAATAGAGAAATCAGGGCTAGAGACAATAGGAGAGTCACGGGACACAGGGAGTTAGAGCTTTGTAAACAGATCACCCAGAGTAAGTCTGTTCTGACATGAGGGTCAATGTGGAGCATTCTTGGGTGAGAGAGAGGAACAGGGTGAGAGAGAGGGACAGGTGAAAGGAACAGGACGAGACGAACGGCCAGAGAGTGACGTTCTCAGACTTAACAGGCTGTGTAAGTATCCAGAGAATAGATTAGTCAATATACAAAGTCAATATACGATACACAAAGGCTTCAGGGGTCACACGGGCAAGGACTGTCATCATGTGACAAATGCAAGGGCACTGCCAAGGGTGGCAAGGGCAGTTTCAAGGAGATGGTGCGGTCTCTTCCAGACGGTGGTGTTCTGAGGAGTACATGGGAAACAGACAGAGAAACAGATGCTTTTAGCAGGTTGGTGGTGACAAGAGGGACAGAACGGAATAAAGGGACTCCCATATGAGACTGTTATCACATTCCGTGTGTGCTTTTAAATTTCAACAGAGAGAATTGAAGGAATGCGTCAAACAGTTACCGCAAGTCTGAAACGGTACATAGGAACCACTCAACTAACAGAGGCAGTAACTGCAGGAAGCGGGTACCATCCCTTGGGCCGGAGAACGCAGGGAAGAGTCTGGGGCTCTCAGAACCTCGAAGCCGGGAGGAGGGGTACCGTGCACCACGTGTTAGGATTTTCGTACCGGTTTACCTCGATGGCAGGTAAGGGCAGTCTTGTGCTTTGAGAATGATGTGCATCGCGTCTTATTTGCGGAAGGTCTATGACACAGACTCTTCATGACACGAAGTGATTATACCTTGCAAGAGACCCTTAGTAACATGTAAAACTAACCGAGCAGGAAAACACCACAAAATGCATCAGACCTCTTTTTTGTGCAAGGGCGAAAAGCCTACTGAAATTGCATAGGAGCTAAACTGAGTGCAGGCAAGGAAAACTGGCAGTCCGCAGGGCTCTAAATTGTCTACCACTTACCGGACGAACACGGTCATTTCTGCTCTGTCTTCAATGAAGACACCTGACTCTGAAGGCCTGGGCGGATCAGGTTGCTGTTCAGAGGGGATGTACAGGGAAACGGTAATGGTAGACTCGCTAAAAGGGCCTGAACCGGGCTCCACGTAGCTTGTCACTGGAGCGGTCATCTTTATTTTCATCTCTGGGCCATAAAATAATGAGTTTAAATACCATGGAAGGACCGTGAAAGCAGATTTAGTATCTGCATGGCTACTTCTAAAGACCGAATCTACTAATTTCTTTGATCTGAGTTTCCTGACTTACCTTATGCTACCGACATAAAATTTACCTTTAAGATAATGTGCATCTTTGAAAAATAAGGGCAAGGGGCGCCTGCGTGGCTCAGTCGGTTAAGTGTCAAACTCCTGAGTTCAGCTCAGGTCATGACCTCACAGTTGGTGAGTTTGAGCCCATGTCAGGCTCTGCACTATGTGCAGTCTGGGATTCTCTCTCTCTCTCCCTCTGTCTCTCTCTGCCCCTCCCCCACTCATGCTCACTCATGCACTCTCTCTCAAAATAATAATAATAATAAAGGGAAAATGATTCAATTATCCACTGGCCACATTAAGCACTTTCTGTACGATTAATATTTTTGGTTAATACATTCTAGTTTTAGGGATAGAAAGGAAAATTAGAGATCATAGAGTCCAGTCTATTCGTCACGTTTTACAGTTCAGAAACTGAGATCCCGTAGACTAAGTGAACTGGTAAAATATAAATAGCACCAGAGCCAGAACCAGATGTCTGGAGACCCTGGATCTTGTGTTCTTTGTACCTTCCTACCTCCTGATGACTCTTACCATAGCAGTCACCAAATTATCTCGAAGCATTGGCCATGAAAAGGACTTAATACTAGCTACACAGAGGCCCAGTTCATCCGGCAGAAACAGACAAGAACAGAGGCTGAAAAGCACTACCCAGTACTACCCTCCTCTAGACTCTGCTAAGGGCCCCGAGCAGAGTCCCTGTCTTCACACTTTAAGTCTTTCATGATCTCATTATTTTTCTAAAGTATATTTCTTTAGTAAGCTAAAACACAAGAATAAGTGAATAAGCCTGGGCACTCAGCCACTATATATATATATATATATGTACATACATATATATATACACACACATATATATACACATAATATATATGTGTATATATATATACATATACATATAATTTATAAGGTAAATTGTCTTCACCTTTCTCATTTTTGCCTTGAATGTAGCTGTTCAGCTTCGTAAAACCAGTTTGGATGGCTGAATCCCAGTCCATAGACTCAACGGAAGTGCTGACCCATTTGGCTGGTCCATAATGTCGGATCTCGTAACTTCCGGGCTAAAATAGAACAGAGGAAACTTGGGAAGCAATTCTAAAAGGCAGGACGTGAGAGGCAACAGAACAGGTGACTTGGTCTCGGGTCCACCAGGATTGCCCTTGATCTCGGGACCTGCGCCCTGCTGGGATGGGCGTCTGGTTCTGGTTCCTTAGAACCGGGCAGGGCCCCTCCCCTGAGGCTCCCATCCTTGGATTTGAGCTGCTGGAGGCCTCGGCCCCACACGCAGGGGTGGGGGAGTCGGTCGGCTCTATTCTCGTTGCGACCGAGCATCTGTTACGTCCCCTGGGCCGGGAAGGTCCCCCTGCGGATAATTCGTTTTTCTTTTTTAACCTCAAGAGAAGTAAAAATGTAGCCACAGATTACGGCTAACCGACCGAATTTCCCCATCTGGGCAGCATTTCCCCATCTGGGGGCCCAGACGACTTCAAAAATTGTACTTTTTACTTAAATCTGTGGGACCCGCGGGCCCCACCGCAAATCAACCGGCGCGCTCTGGCCCGCACCCTCCGCGCCCGTGGGAGGCGCCTACCTGGGGGCCTCCCGGGGCCGTCCAGCCCGGCGTCTCCACGGCCTGGGCCGCCGCACGCTCGGCTGTCGCGGGGTCCGGCTCCAGCACCTCGGCCATGGGCGGCGCCGACGCTCCGGGGAGACAGGCTGGCGAGCGGGACCAGGAAGGGGCCGCGCCGGGGCCGCTCCGGGCCGCCCCG